TTTATAGTTCCGTACCCGCAACGCCGTACCGTAACGTTTGGAATTAAACCCTACTTGTTGCGCGTGAACATTTATAATTCGCGTTAACGTTGCGTTAGAACGGTTACGGTACGTATGAGTCAGTGGACAAAACAATTGTTTCAGGAATCAGGAAGCAAGTCAATTCGATTTTTACTTCGAATTGCTTTTATTGTGGTAAAAATGCAGAAAAAAAGAAATAATAAAGATGTTTTAACTAAAACGTTGAGCATAAGGAAACAAAAGACAATATTTTAGCAAACATTAAAGATAAGCAAAAAGATAGATTTCGAAAAAATCTTTATTAACATCCAAAACGTTGATTGATCATGTCAAAAATCATGTATATCTTAAATCTGTTTTTCCAGTTTTTGGCGATTTTCTAGAAGTTTTTCTATAGGAATAATAATTTTTATTTTTGTTTATTAAATATGTCTTCCCAAATTTTGCTACTCCGCGGCATTCTGTACGATGAAAAAAGTAGATTTTTCATCCCTTGAAAAAGAGGTGGCTTTTTCAGAAGTCGTGAGATCACGGAAGCGTTTCAACTTTACGGGCCAAGGAAAGTTTGTTGGGTGTTGATCAGAGGTGAGAAAGTTATAGGGGATAAATTGGAAATAATCATCCCTAATATATTACAAATGCTGTTTCATTGAAAAACATCAAAGAGGAAAGAAATAGAACAATTATTATTATTATAAAAATTTTGAGAAAACTTCCTAGGGTAACATTTTAATTCACTCTGTATACTATATTATAAAGGTTAGAACTTTTGATCATCCTGTATGTTTTGTTTTTTGACGTATGTCAGCTGATTAAGCTAAATTTAAATTTTCCATTCGCAACCGGTTAATGTAAACATCTAATTGTTTGTGTATTATTTAGCCATATAAACTATGTACAACATTTAAATTGTTTATTAACCATGTAGGAAAACGCACCTCCGAAAGAAACGTATATTTGCCTTCCTGTCCCTTCATAGAGTATAATGGCTGTGAGATGGAGCTTAGAATTTGTGACTGCTCTCGAACATCGAGATTTACAAGCCAGTGCAATGGCAGTGGACAGCACCGGTACATACGTCATATTGGCTGGGTAAGGAGATCGTGTTTTGCAATTGTTTTACCATCCTTTGTAGCCGCAGATATATTGCTGTTAAAAATCTCGACGATTCCGATTTTGAAAGTATCCGCAAATTTTCTAGGCAAAGTAAGTACGATGTTAATGCAGCTGAATGGAACCCCACCATGCATCACAGTGAATTGTGCGTTATTTCGGTGAGTAAATCTGGAGTTGCGTGGTCAGGGTCTAATAAGACTATGTAGAGTAATCAACATTTGGAGATTTTAACATGGTCAGTAGGCGAACTCGCACCAACCCATCTGATGCGTGCCCATACTAGGGTCATTACGGACTTGAATTGGCACAGATCAAATCCCAATTTACTGGCATCAGCTTCAATCGATACGTTTATTCACATATGGGATATAAGAGACTCTAGAAAACCTGCACTTTCGCTATCGGCTATCGCGGAAGCTTCACAAGTGCAGTGGAATCAAACGGCACCTCATATTTTGGCTACTGCTCACGATGGCGATATTAAAATTTGGGATCAGAGAAAAGGCAACTCTCCTGTTCAATACATAACGGCACATTTATCGAAGATTCACGGTCTACACTGGAACCCGCAAGTAGAAACTCAAATAGCGACATCAAGTCAGGATAATACAGTAAAATTTTTTGATATAAATAATCCGAGAAGAGCAGAGTTTGTTTTAATGACTAACGCACCAGTTTGGCGTGCTAGATACACTCCATTTGGAAATGGTTTAATTACGGTAGTTGTTCCTCAGTTAAGACGCGGAGAAAATAGTTTATTACTATGGAATACTGACAGTCGATCGTCGCCCGTTCATACGTTTGTGGGGCACAAAGATGTCGTATTAGAATTTGAATGGCGCAAGCAGAAAGCAGGTGACAACGATTTTCAACTAGTAACGTGGTCAAGAGATCAGACCTTGTTAGTGTGGCGCATCGAACCGTTCTTGCAGAAGTTGTGTGGTTACGATCCTGATAATTGCAGAAAGTCGGACTGTAATGAGAATGAAACCAGCGATACTGCATCTGAAGTAAGCTTTAAGGCTGTTTCGAAAGCGAAACCTTTGCAGCAGGAATTCTCGCTATTAAATGTGCAAATACCCAACTTGAAAGTGGACAAGATGGATCCTGTAAAACGTTGTTGCATTGTAACTGCGAGCACCAATAATTATAAAGTTGTTCTCCATGTAAATTTTCCCCAAACATACCCTAATGGCATCCCTCCAACATTCGAAATCGGGCCAGATTCGTCAATTGAAGAGTTTTTATCCAAACGTATTATTCAATCTCTACTGTACACAGCACAACAACGGGTGTCTAAGGGACGTACATGCTTAGAACCCTGTCTGCGCCAATTTGCGACGATGCTAGAACAGTGGGTGGATTCGTCGAATGTAACACAACTCCATCAGCAGCCCTATTTAGAACCGGAAATAATAGGCGCCTTTAATGATGCCTGCATACCATTTCCGAGAACGTCGGGTGCAAAATTTTGTTCGGTTAGTACTTTAGTGTGTTTTGGTCGTCAATTGCACACTCGTCGAGTTACTCCAAAAATCGATTCGGTTACTCCTCGGGCGTTATCCGCTTTAGGTAACGCGAATCGTCGTGGAAATGAACAGTTGACCGTAATTTCGCATTACATTCACAAGCAAAGACTGAGACTGAAACAAACCAATCGATCTCTTAAGTGTGTTATTACCGTTTATGATGCGGCTGGATTATTTACTGTGAATAGACATTTAGCTGAAAAGTATATGCTTGATGGAAATGTAGAGAGGATTTGTAAACATAATGCGTCAATGGCGGAGTCGGTCGGGAGATGGGATTTAGTACAGGCGTGGACACTTGCTGGTTTAATTATTAAAACTCATCAAGTCGACCAAGATGATATGTTGGAGCATCCGTTTGGAAATCAACTAATACAGTCTCTGTAAGTTAATAGTGAAAATTTCACTCAAATTTTTATTTGTGAACTAAATGTAGTACATCACACTGTATCGTCCCAGGTCGCGTATTGCCAATGTATTGTACAGCACAGAGCGGTCCATTTTCTGCAGTGCTCAATGCTTTGGCGATGGTATACGCAATAGGTAGTCTGCCAATCCATCGTTCGCCCCAAAAATCGCGAAGTTCAACAACTGGCATTTAAATTATAATTTCACAATTAAAGAGACAAAAACGAAATTACCACTATCTTTGGTCTGGGTACACTTGAGGATACACTTGTCATTTATAAAATCCGTTGAAATATTCTTCGATTGTCTCTTGGATTTCTCCTTTGGAAGCCAGCAGCAATTTGGAAAATTGGATGGTGAAACGCCTTAAGGCAATACGATGCGATCAAATTTGATTCAGGAACAAACCGTGCTTCAGGATTACTTTGATTTAATTAGTTGAGTTATTCAGTAATAAATTACCGCGGTGTGTAAATGTAAAAAAATACTCCTGCAACTTAGGGTTTTAACGGCAAACAAAACCTTGAATTCATTGTCTTTGACCTTTTTACCGGTAGCCGTTTTGGTCATAATTTTGTCCGCACTTCAAATAAACAACTTAGTTATTGATTAATAAACTAGCTTTTTAATGTTAACTAGCTACTCTAAATATACCGCAATTGAACGTTCTGTAATTTTGACTCCATCGTGTTCTTGGTAATTATTTATTTATAGGCGAAAAAACGTAGCTCCGATAATATGACGAATGAAATTATTCACTTTCGTTTTAATACCCATTTGCACAGTATTTACCGTTACAAATAAATCCACCATCCTTTCACCACGCCATGAAATTCCCCTTTTTCGCACAAATACACCACTCTATACTGGTTTTAGCACAGACTCCGGAAACTATTTTATATTTCGCAGTAACGCTTCACGTACCGGGTGACCCAATAAGACTGTTCCTCGGCCATATCTCAGGAACCGTTCGTTGTATGACTTAGGGGTAAAAAAATTTTTGGGTAAATCGGTTATGAAGAATCGCTGGAAAATATTTACAAGTTCTAAAAATGACCACCAGAGGGCGTAACTGCCGTCTTAAATTTTAAAATTGCATTTTCTTTAAATTTCGCATAATAAACTAAACACTTTTTTCCTTTTTAAAGAGAACCAGTTTATCTATCATTTTCGTAAAAACAAAAACTCAGTTCAAAAACAAAGATGGCGTGGGGGGCGTTCAACTGTTTTTGCAATAACCTGCTTTAACTTCTTAACCGTTTGACCGATTGTAACAAAGAGGCAAAGAGCCAAAGAGGCCAGTAAAACCGTTTTTCAAAATCTCGCTCCTAACCTCAAATATTGGGAAAATGAGATTAATTAATAAAAATGCTTAAATTGTATCTTATTTGAAGTATTTCCGGTACTTGTCGATGGCGCGAAAGATTGTTTGGAAAAGGACCCTACCCTTTTAGGTAACTTGGAAAATTAAACAAATGAGACATGATGCATTATAAAATAATAACAGCCGCAATTTGTAAATTATTCTGCTGTGTTTACATTCAAAAAGTGCAGTTGTTTGGATTTGTAATATTTTCTAAAATGCCAATTTCTAACCAAGAAACATTTAATTTGCTGGCGGTGATGGTTCGTGGTGGATTCGGATAACGTAAATAGACGATGTGGGCAGCGATGGTCGCATTTTGAAAATACTCAAAATATATCGCCCGCATATTAAATGCTTCTTGGTTAGAAATCGGCATTTTAGAAAATATTCAAATTCAAAAAACTGCACTTTCTGAATGTGAACACAGCGGAATAATTTACAAATTACAGCTGTTATTATTTTATAATGCATCGTGTTTCATTTGTTTAATTTTCCAAGGCCTATCTAAAAGTGTAGGGTGCTTTTCTTTCGCGCCATCGACAAGTACCGGAAATACGTAAAAAGTACATTTAAGATACAAGTTAAGCATTTTTATTAATTAATTAATTAATCTCATTTTCCCAATATTTGAGGTTAGGAACGAAATTTTGAAAAACGGTTTTCACTGGCCTCTTTGGTTGTTATTTGGCTACTTTTTCATAAAGAAAATTCGATTTGATTTTTTTTAGGATTTTGGGCCAAAGTGTCAAAACTAGCCGCCTGGCGGAGAAGGATTCAACTAAATTAACTATATTTTGGTTGATTCTCATTGTCCAAGGAATGCTCTTTTCAACCGCACCAAATTTGTTAAAATCGGTCAAACGGTTAAGAAGTTAAAGCAGGTTATTGCAAAAACAATTGAACGCTCTACAGTCTACACCATCTTTATTTTTGAAATAACTGAGTTTTTATTTTTACGAAAATGAAAAACTGGTTCTCTTTAAAAATGTGTAAAAAATTTTTTAGTTTATAATGCGTAATTTAGAGAAAATGCATTTTTAAAATTTAAGATGGCAGTTACGCCCTCTGTTGGTCATTTTTAGAACTTGAAAATATTTACCAGCGATTCTTCATGACCGATTTACCCAATAATTTTTTTACCCATGAGTCATATGACGAACGGTTCTCGAGATATGGCCGAGGAACAGTCTTATTGAGCCACCCACTGTACACTGTAATGCTTCGACCCTTGTCTGCTTGAATACTTGCCTTAACGCGCTTTATTTCACAAATATAAGTTCTACCACCAAATTTGTAAATTTAACGAAAAATCTTTAAAGTCTAAAGCGACCGACAAAAATTTTATTACAATTAATTTTTAATTTCCCCATGGCCAGCTCAGTAAGAAAATGTTTTTTTACCCCTAATCTTGCTAAAGTTGCGCCCTTTACCTCCTTTTAAAACCTGAAATTCAAAATGTAATTCTCTGGTTTGATTGAACCCATATAAATACCCAAATGACTTTAGTTGATGAAATATATTAATGAAAATAAAAGCGATCAATTTTTCTTTACACATTCCTGAATGTAAAAATATTGGTTTAGTTTATAAAAACAAATAGAAAAATGCAATGCCCATGTGGTGATCACGTTATTACCTATGCCATCTTTATTACATAATTAATGGGCTACTTGCAAGGTTTCGTTATTAGCAAAAAATTTGCACAGGTGGCAAGTACTATATACGCCATACATGAGGCGAATACTAATTTTTGAAAAAGATCATTTGTTTTTAAACAAATAGTAAAAACAATTACTGGGAATCCCTTTAAATATGACGTCAGCTGCAAACGCCCTGCCATTGGTGCGACGTCACAACTGTGGTCGCCATATTTGTTTACATTCTTGTGTTCGTAGATCCAGGTTTGTAGAGGTCCGCCCGGCCAGGTTTGTTTTGTGTCTTGTGCGCAAAAAACGATAAAGGGTGCATGTGTGTGTGTGGGTGGGGACATGATAGAGAAAGTTCAAAAAAATTAGTACGAATAGTGTATTTTTAGGTGGACTAAAAATTTTCCACATTTATAATCTCTTCAGGCAGCCCTTCACGTACGGACTTCGCTTCGAGCTTTGCCTGTACGAACATTGCCCAACATGAATTCATGCAAAGCTCGAACGTGAATAAGGGACCAGACGAGCAGCACTTTGTTTTGTTGCAACTTGGGTCGTGTTGACGTTTTCGAATCTGTCGGAAAACTTGGCGCGGCGCGAAGCTGTGCGCGCTTAAAAGTTGCAATGTGTATTTCTAGTTTGATTACGAGCATGAATACAAGGTTCGAAATAAGACAATATATTCATTATATTGGATGGAATGAGACAGTAAAACTTTCAATGCCACTTTCAGAAAAATGTATTGTAGGCATTTTAACGAATTTAATTTCAACAATTAAGTATATATTTAATGTCAGCATATGCATCCGGAAGTAAATTTGGTAATCTTCAGAGTGATTTACATTGATTTCTATTAATAGATAAATATGATTGGCAGCACCTCGTTTTTTTATACCTACCACTCCTTTACTCTACTCGATACCTTTTTTCTTATTTTACTTTTTTCATTATGATCTAAAAGAACTACCTATTGCTGCTGCTTGTTTTTTACTTATTACCCTCGTATTACCATCATTAATCTGCGATTTTTAACGTAACTACACTTGGCGTACTTCGAACAAGGACTGCACGTGAAGGGTAAAAATTGTACTCGTGCAATGCTCGCGAGTATTGCTGTCATGCAAAGCTCGAAGCGAAGTGCGTACGGGAAGGGCCGTCTCAAGACGTGCCGTCAGAAAGACATCGATATATTTCACGGTACACAGGAGAAAACGTAAGCAACAACAAACGCATACGCTACATCATCGCATTGAAGTATACATGCAAGTATACCGCCACTGAACTTTTACACAGTTGTGACGTCACAACCATGTGCCGGCAAAATCTAGCGTTTAAAATGATTTCCAAGCGCGCGAAAAACTTATCTTTAGATAATTTAAAAGTTTGTGTGTTTAGGATTGTGAAATTTTGCATACTGGTATTTCTTTATGTTCCGCATTGATTTATCACATAAATAAAAAATGTGAAAGTGGCCCATTATAAGAGCGTTTTTTGTATACCTATAGCCGTGAAATCGGCAAAGACTTCAATTTCGACATTGTAGTGTGTTTTAGGTAGGTATATAATAAAGAAAAACGTGGGAAAGTTACAAAGAAGATCATGTATATTGCAGTTGTAACTAGTTAGTTAAATAATTGCAAGGCTAACAATACTTATATGTTTTCCATAAAAACTGTTGATCATTGATATAATCGATAAGAAGAAAATATTAGTTTATTGGGATTTACTTTTAGCACTTTAGGCAATCAACGATAAATTTTAATAATATGAACTTAGTCCGGATAGCTGAAAATTAAAAATGCGAAACCAGTGAATTATTTTCCCAAAAACAAATTGGTTAATCATATGACCAACCTCTACCCTCTACCAGTAGAGAGCGCAACGAGAATAGGAATTATATCTATAAATTGTATAGATTTGTGACAGATGGCGCAAACGTAGTCATGTTTTAGCATAGCCGCCA